GTGATAGAGCCAACCCTGCCTGTGGTTGTCAGTTCCACACCGAAATATTTCTCCCACATTACCGGACGAGGTTCGTCTTGCTCCAATCACATGGACCTTGGGTGGTTGGCTCATGGCGGTGGTGTCGGTGGCGAAAACCACCTGAGTTGGCACGGCAGCACCTTCCACCACTTCGCCTCCCTCTGCAGCGAGAGTCACAAACCGTCTGGGGAACAGACTGCCAATATTTTTTGTCGATTAGACGCCACAGGAATGTTTCATTGGTGTCCCGAGAGGAGCATCAAATCGTGCATTCTAGACGAGGAAAAGCCAGCTTCGTCGATGAAATTCAACGACCACATTGTTGTCTGCATTTTCGCTGACTATCGAAGTCCCATTATTGGACTAAGGAGTTTCATAATGCCACTGCGAGCAAGTAACCTACACCTACACGACCTGAAGACGGTGGTGTTGATCGGGAACATAGAGTACATAAAACGAGAATGGAAGACGCTGGCAAATTTCCCCAAACTTTGGATTCTTCCTGGGTCTCCACTTAGCAAAGCAAATCTGCGATCTGTGAATGTTAATCTTGCTTCAATGTGCGTAATTCTCTCCTCCAAGAGTGATAACACAATTGATGATCTCACACTAGCTGACAAGGAGGCCATCCTGTGCTCACTCAATGTAAAGGCCATGGATTTCTCCGACATGGACGGTTCATTCGTTGAGCAGACTTGCCTTCCCACCAAGCCTGCGAGTCTTCGACGAGACGACAACGTCAGCTCCTTAAAACGAGCACCTCGAAACAGAGCGGGCAATCCACTGGTCAGCAAAAGCAATCTCCACGGTGGGTCAACCGCTGCAGTAGGGCCGGACGCTCCTGCTGTCTTCTACCGTCCACCGAGATTTATTTCTCGAAACGGGTCAACCATACCGATGGCCACCGAACTGGCTTTTGACATGAATGTTCAGTTTCTGGACCAGGAAGATGAAGATGAGGGTGGCGAACTCTTTATGACCCAGCCGTTTGCCTGTGGAACAGCCTTCACCATCAGCGTTCTGGACTCCCTGATGAGCACGGCCTACTTCAACGAATCCGCCCTGACGCTGATTCGTTCCCTGGTTACCGGGGGCTCGACTCCACTGTTGGAGAAGATCCTAGCAGAGGGAGCTGGAATGCTCGGCGGCAACCCGGCGTCAAATAGCGCTGCGTGCCGCGAGCGATGCCGACTGGCTCAACTCACGCTAAGTGGAAGCACGCTGGGTAAATTCGCTGTTCAGGGAACGCCCTTCGAAAAGCTATTTCTTGCCGCTCTGCGGGACTATGGGATTATGATAATCGGGATCTACAGGTTGTTGAGATGGCGTGATCTGAGTGAGGGCTCACCAGGCTCCTACAGACGTTTTGTGATAACAAACCCACCCCCCAGTCTGCCCCTGCACCCCACCGATTGGATATTTTGTCTTGTTCCGCATCAGCATATCTTAGAACCAAGCCAGATACACAGAATATGACCTCTTTCCCTTCTATTCCTCCTTGGCACTTGACAAGGCATTTACGTGTTGTCACCATGTACATACAGCTGTGAGTTCACGAATCTGAGAAAACTACGATTGTATCCTAAGTTAAGTTCTACGAAAATATTCAAGGCATTCCAAGAAATCGCTAGTCATGGAAATTGCACCCATTTCCGGGTTTACCATTGGACAGAATGGTGTGTGAGTGAGATTTGCACCAAAAAAGCTACTACACTTCTTTTTTAAAAAAATATAAAAAAGTAAGAAACTGGATGGATTTATTAAGTGTCCAAAATTAAATGATATATGTCGATTTTACACTATCATGATGAGATCGCTACAAATTTCGTCGTTAATTTGAAATTAAGGTCTCTTAAGTGACCACCTCTAACCTTTGTGAGTTTATTGGAACTTGAGAACACGTTTTACGTTTAGGAGTGTTATTTGAAAATGCGATATTTGATAGCGGTGTTGCATTACATTAAGATTTAATGTTAGACATGACTTACCTTAAATAATGAAGTCAACAAATATAACAATTGAGTTGAGGATGTACCATAGTGCTCAAATTTAAAATAATACTCTAGCCTCATTTTAGAAATCCATACTGGGAATTTGCTAGTTGACTAAAAACTCTTTAGGTTCTACTAAAACTGAATCGCAACACAGGAAAAGGTGTTGGAATATAGCATGCCTACGAGCCTGCTTTGCAACAGATTGTTGCAATTAAGTCATAAAGACTAATTTGACGAACAGACCAAACTAAAAAATGCTTCTTATCACTTTTAATTCTGGAATCTTGCTTAAAGTTGGTTTTGGCATTCCGGTGACAATTTCCTTGGTAAATAAGTAAAAACACAAAACAGTAAAATCAATGACTGAATATTCTTGCAACTTTCGGGTGCGTACTCAATTATGGCCGATGAATGAAAATGATGCTAATATTAATTCTAAACTCTGCTTTAGCTTAATTCCAGCAATGAATGAGTTATGTGCAAGGAATCGATCGTGGTCTCACTTATGTAATAAACGATACTACATCACGTTACAGTAGTAAATTGATGCATCATGCTATCAGTTATACTTGAAGCTAACAAATTCTGTGATTAAAATGCCCTTACACAGATTTTCAGGTTTGACTGTTTATTTACTCGTACATGTTCAATTATTTGAAAACGTAGGAATTTTCAGTTTAGTAATATTTTTTTGAAGCCTGGAACAAATCCCTGATTTTGGATTAGCCTAAAAGATTTTCATATAAAAAGTTATTAGTAGGTTCATAAAAGTTCTCAAGTTTTACAACTCATTGTAAAATATTTGAGCAGTAAATTGGTACACATGCATTTTATAACATGTTGGGAAATTTATTTCTTCTAAGAAAATTAGGCTGTGAGAAGAAAGGTGAAAGAAATCAAGGATTCATGTTGCCAAATGAAATAATTTCGAGTTCGACCCTTTCGGCTATTATTTAGACCAATTACTTCCTTAAGGTAACAGACACCCCCGTAACGGCATGTGGTACCAAATTAAATTTGAAATAAGTTGCAAATCTGAAAAACCAAAACAGGGAGGTCTTCAAATCGAAGATGTAACTAGGAACAGCGCTTTATAAACTTTTTTGGGACACTCGAGACGTTTCAAATATTGCTAATAAGCTATAAATATATGAACTGCGCATGCATATTCCATATGGCAGTCGTTTTGTTGAATTATAAAGAAAGCAAACATGCTGGTAGGATGTTTATCTAGTTAAGTATTTACATTCTGCGTCAACAAAAAGTGATGATAAGAATTAGACATATAGGTTTCACACATGCAAAATAAGTTTAAAAACACGTAACTTTAAAGGTCTATATATGGAAACATTTAATAATGACACGATGTCCTATCAAACTCAAGTTTGCATTAGTACCTTTTTAGGGAAGTCCAAAGAATCGGTTTTTTTTAAATTTGGCCACAAATATTTTTCATTGTCATAATGGTAGAAATGCAATATGCATATAAGCATAATTAGGCAACACATAAATAAAAATTTAGGTACATTTATTTAGTATATTCTTTCGGGCTTTTCAAGAGTGTAATTTTAACTGTTCTCCTTAAGCCACTGCAACCACCGGCCTTGGGACGCGCGGCTTTTAAACACGCGTAAGTTGCCAATTAAAATGTTCGCCTTGAAACGGCCCAAGAGGAGTGATACCGGCCCTATTTAAGCCGCCCTGCGACCCAGGTGCATGCATCCAAAAATGGAAGAACCTGTCGAAGGAAGTGCTGTTTATTCCCCAGAGAAACAGAGCTGTGCCGAAAATGTTCAATTTTCCGAAATTGGTGGCAAATCACCGAAAGCTCAGAACTTATCCCCTCAATCGTCTAAACATTCTGATTCCACCCCAGCGCGTAGCAGTACCACAGAAACTCATGAGCCTTCTCCACCGGCTCCTTCCATTCCTGTGTCTCCAAGTGCAAAAAGCAATGTAGGGAAGTACAAACTGGTGCGCACAATCGGAAAAGGAAACTTCGCCAAAGTTAAGCTTGCTATTCACATGGCGACTGGTGTTGAAGTAAGTAATCTATTTCTGGATAATTTTTGCAGGTTGCAATTAAAATAATCACGAAAAAAGGAATGGACTGGGCTGCAAACGATCGCGTATGTTGCATTACGCTTAACATACCCTTTAGCTTCGACGCGAGGTCAATATACTTCAGATGCTTAATCACCCCAATATTGGTAAGACCTTTGTTCTTGCTTGCATTACTTTACAGTCCGGCTGCTCGAAATTATAGAAAATGAAGAAGTGATTTGTTTGGTGCAGGAGTATGCCAACGGTGGTATGTCAGCATAGACGTGAATTCCTATTTGATGCAGGCGAGATCTTTGATTATCTTGTTGCTCACGGCAAGATGCGTGAAAAGGAAGCCAGAAGCAAATTCAGACAGCTGGTCTCTGCCCTTGATTATTGTCACTCCAAGAACATTGTTCACAGGGACCTTAAGGCAGAGAATATCCTCCTTGATGCACAGCTTAATGTAAAAGTTGCGGATTTTGGGTTGGCAAACATTTTTAAACCAGATCAAAAACTGTCTACTTTCTGTGGCAGTCCGCCGTACGCTGCGCCTGAATTGTTTTTGGTAAGCTACTTTGAATAATCACTTATCACCGGCGTGACCAGGAGTGTCGAATCCCCCTTATTATTTTTTTTAGGGTATTCGCTACCACGGTCCTGGTGTTGATATCTGGTCTATGGGAGTGCTTTTATTTACTTTGGTTGTGGGTCATCTGCCATTCGATGCGACTGACCTCAGAGAGTTGCGAACAAAGATCCTCACCGTGCGCTACAACCTCGGCAGGGGTGAGGTCTCCAGCGAACTGCAGGCTCTGCTCAAGAAAATGCTAGTGCTTGATCCTCGTGATCGTTACTCGCTGCGGGTAAATGTGCCTTTATTTACGTTTATTTTGCCGATTCCTGGGCTTTCACATTGTTAGCACTCACTACGAGAAACATGCCTGTCGCCAGCAAGTTTACTTCTGTAGTTTGTTTTAACTGTTTATAGGCGTAAAACAGCCTGACGCTAGTGTCACTTGTCTCTCCATGTCTTTGTGTTGCATGTAATCAATTTAGTCATCCCTTGTGTGGCGTCGGTACGTATATTTTTTCGCGTACAAGTATCAGAAATTAACGATGATAGCGCTACCTTTCTGTAGGTGTAGGGTTATAGCTTTTTCGAATAACCCGATAGCTTCTGTGTATGCTTTTATCGATTAAAATTGATCCCTTTACAGGCAATAATGAACGATCGATGGCTGAACATGGGCTATGACACGGTAATGACACCCTATCAAGAGCCATCGCATGTGCAGCTCAATGAGGCCTACGTAGAACAGATGGTTCGTCTCGGTTTCACGGAAGTGGATCTTATGAATTCTGTGGTAAAGCCTGGATTTGACCACGTGTACGCAACATACGCACTCATGCCGGAAATGCTGAAGAAACAGTCTATGTGAGTGCTTATTTTTCACCCCGTCTTGCGCCAAATTCTAACCAGGGAAGCACGGGAGTAAAGTACGATTGCAACGGTTCATTTTGTAATTTTTAAAATCTCGTTTTTTTTAAATTGCCTAAGATGTTTCTACTAACTTTAATATGCCTCAGCCGTTACTATCATGCTGCACTTTCTAGTCATGCTCTAGCGATCAGAACTGAGCCGGGGTCAGCGTTTGTGAGCTATCAGCGAGTGATCAGATTTACGTTGAGCATTTATAGTGGGTTGAATTTGCTCACAATTTGAGAATTACCCCGTCTTATTCTCAGTAAATTTGTTCAGGAAATATTTTAACGTTCATCAGATGTACCAATATAAGCTAATTGTTTTTGGGTAATTTCACAGATTGTCGTTTGCAGTCTTAATCGTTTCACGGTGGTACTATGCTGCTTAGACTGTCTGAGCATTTTCTTGAAACCGTTTTATCTGACTTGATTGTCCTTAGGGCTTCGGTCAGCTAGTTTAAGTCGCTTTTTATAATCTGTGCGTGAGAAACCTGAAGTCTTGCATTTTTTGAGTAAAACAGGCTCAAAGCATGCTAGGAACGCGGTTGTATAATGATTCGTGCCCACTTGTACTGTGTAGTTATCGGTAAGGCTATGTGCGTGCCTACGACACCATCGACATGCGTTTCTTTGAACGTTAAGGTGTTTTTGTGCCCTAACAACGACACATTGCCTGAGCACTCTTCCTCGGTTTAATGGAGTTAGCATGCAGTTTACGTGTGACCGTTGTGTGTGTGTGAGTGCATGTGTACCGCACGAAACCCTCTCCTTGCCTTGCACGCCTTCTTTGGCTTGCATCAACTGAAGATGCCGCTCCACGCATTTGCAATTTTTTCTCGTGTCTGTGAGGCTGAAATCACACGCACGTACACCCGTGCATGTGAGCACAAGCCAGCCGTGACCATCTCTCTGACCTCGCCTTCCTCAAATTACCACACAAGCAAGTTCACTGACTTGGTCACCGGTGCTGTGCTCACTCCTGTTCGATTTGTTTTTTTTTGGCCTTCGCTTCTGATTTTTCACCACGAACTACCCCAGCAAGCGGAATTGGCGTGTTTAGTGTTTCGAATCGCTTTCAGCCACTCGTAAGCACCCACTGGACCCTTCCTGTGCGTGAGTCAGGCAACGAGGTCACTGCCAAGACGCTTGTTTGCTTCTGTGCACTTTTGGCGCATTTTTAAATCCGCACTCTCATTGCAAATCATCGCGCGAAATCGTATCACCTAAACAAGTCGCCTATTTGGAGGTATTCTGTTAGCTTGACCGTGGTCGAATGACGTCACGATTGTGACTATTGCATCTGTCAACGCTGCGCGTTAGATTTCTCGTTCTTGGTGTGACGTTACACGCCTGATCAAGAAGTCTGCTGACGCCGTGCCACTGTCGAAGTTGTTCGTACGGTCCTCAAGTTTGATCTCTTTTCGGAAAGGCCACCTCGTTCTTTTCTCATGTGGTGTTTCACGTAGCGAGAACTGTCAGTTACATTGTCGTCTGGCACATACTGATCCCACGATGGTCTGCTTTTCCTAACTACTGTATTTCTAGGCGTTGTTGTGGGTCTGTGCCGTGACAAATTAGGCCCAGGCCGAATTCGCTGTCGGCCTGTCGTCCTGCACACAGCCACCTCATTTACATGAACTTGGAAATTAACAAAAAAGACAGCCAATTGAATTTGCCTGAAGGTTGTGAGAAACTGTACTATTATCGCGCTATCTCGCGCGTAAACACAGCAAAACTTGCGCTATCGCGTTGCACTGCTGCACTAGATTGAGACGCAGAGCGCGCCTCGTGTGTACCATCGTAGGAGCGTGTGTGTGTGTGTGCGATTCAGAGATTTTGTGTCCTTCTGCCCGTGTGTCACTACATGTACTTTTGTGTCCATTAACTGGGTTTTTCCATCCTGATCTTGTGCTGCCTCTTCACGTTGTTACATATCTCACACACTGAACGCCTCTTTTGCCAGTGGTCTTCATTAAGTCCGCCTGTTCGTTTGCTTCCAGGTTAACAGCCAACTCAAGAACTCTCAAGCCGGATTTCGCTCTGCTGAATCAGTAAGACTAACATGCACGCCTTGTCGCCTTCTCTGTTTCCTGATTTGCACATGAAATTTGATGGTTCTTAGTGCTTGTTTGTGTGCGAATGTGTGCCCCTTGTGCTGCGCCTTGATCTCTCGTAGTCGCCTAGTGTATGTAACGCACGCGTATAACCACCAACGTCCCTTGCGCTGAAGTACCCCTGCGCTTTCAAAACCAACCGCGCGCCCACACTTTACCTTCATAACACCAACTGTCGGCTTGTTGCAGTAACATTCCATCGATAGAAACGCCGTCCAAGACAGCATCAGGCGGTTCAGGCGGTCCCACGGGCAAAGCCGTGGGTCGTTTCACCGTCGAACCGGCGAAAGCGCACGCGGACAACCCTCGTCGACAGTCGGGCGGCCGCTCCCACCACCTCCACCATCAGGGGGGTGCTCCGACAGCTGGCGCCCCCATCTCCTCCAACTACTCAGCCACCAGCTCCCTTCCCGCGGCTCTCAAACGCGCCCTCGTCAGCATGGGTCGTTCGCTCACCGGACAGACCAGTGCTGGGTCCTCCTCCACCACGTATTCTGGCGCTGCTGCCACCTCCGGAGAACAGTCCAGCGAACCCGGCATGCCAGGCGAGTTAGAGGTCTTCTTTCCACCCAGCAAACGTCCTATCTGCAAATTGCACTATCTCAAAACGTGGGAGTGCATTTAAAGTACTACCGAGAGTGTGGGACGCTCCCGCACCCACTGGTGCAACAGTGTAGGCCACCGTTGGACGCCTTATGTTGGTCGTTTTTTCTTCAATCCACCGACATCGATGTAGGCGTTAGGGTTCATGCGTGGACGACGGCTGCGTGTATTTGCAGCCTGCGTGATTGCAAAATTGTGCTTTGCCAGTTGCGACAGCAACGCCTGTGAAGTTGATTGGGTTGGAGTTGACAGGGTCTCATTCAAGTTCTGCTCTGACGCACAGGGTGTGGTGAGTTGTGTGTCTTTGGGTGGTGGGGTTAGGCAATTTTAAACAAGCCTGTGTCTTACACAGGCAGCAGCTTGTCACGTCTGAGACAGCTTTTTTTGTTTCTAATTGCCACAATCGCCTCTTAATCCAGACTAATTTTTTCTCCACAGGAAGACACCACAAGTCGAAGGACCCTCAACCCCGGTAAGCCATTATGTGATTTATCGACTGACCCTGTGACAATAGTTTTTCATTGCCTTATCATTGTGTTGTTGCTGACATTTTTGCACTGACTGATGCTGCGTAGAACTGACATAACCCCGCATGCGTGTGATGTCGTGTGAGCGATGCCAACGTTCACATCTGGACTCGTGTTTGTGCAGTTCTCTGTTTGGTGCTCCTGTTTGATTTTTGCAAGGCTACGCGTTTGCCGTGAATAGGAGTCGAATGCAAACACCCATAGCCAACTGCGTCTCCAGACAGTCGTCTTATTCCTGATTTCCACCGGTCAAATCAGGACCTTGAATGCAGAAAGCCGTGCAACCCGAGGTCATTGAGACTGTGTTGATCTCGTTGACCTCCATATCGATTTTTCCACCGAGTCTCTTTGAGCACGTAGCGACGGCTTCTGCCTGAATGCCTTCGTTCAACGCCGCGCGCCGTTGAAAATGACGCTATGCCTCCTTCTAAACACGTCTTCTGTTGTTCACTTGTGCGTACGCACGACTTGCATCATCTGTCGTCAAACGTGTTGACTCATCCTCCTCGACCTACACAAAACCCCGTCGCCTTAACGACAATTTCTCTCGACTCTCCACGTTACATGCGGCCTCTGGACTGGTGCTTCCTGGACGACGATTGGTTAATTTGCGTTCCCACTGGAGTCGCGAATTCTGGGTGCTTATTGACACCCCAGAGACTCGTTGTTCTTCGGACTTGTTTTCTATCAGCAATGACATGTGAACCGATTGATTTGGTGATATTTAGTTTGCTCACATCCTAATCTACCCCATTTTGCATTCTAATTTAACCTTACCTTACCCAACGGCTCTCTCTACAGGCGTTCCTCATTGCCCCAAGGCACCCGATCATGGTCCAATCGCAGAACCTACCCCTAGTAAGACCAGTCGCTAATCCCGGAAGCTTCGTCTGGCTATTCTTAGTCTAAACTCCTATCCCGACGTGGCTTGTACATACTTACAGTGTGCTTCACGGAACCTGCTCACTAGTTGCTTCTATTTGCTTCAAAATGCCCTTTTGTTGAATCTCTACGTCTGTTGCTCTCACCTAGTAGCGATTAGCACGTCATCTAGAGTTTGTGTCTCTGAGACAACGAGAAGGTCAACTCACTCGCCTGGCGAAATCAACGGCTACCCTGTTCGGTGCATTTCGGCGCCTCCGCATTACGCGTAATGCGCCGTAATACCTGAGATCGCGTTTCCCACAAAGTTGCTTCTTCTTCTGCTGTTGTTGTTTTTAGAACATCGCTATCACACTGGCTTGCTTTCGCCTAATCGTTTCGCTTTAAGTCTGCTTAGCGTGTCCTATAGGAATGCTCTGACCAGCATTGTTTTTTGGCGTTTTGATGCACCCCACCCCATGGTACCCCATGCGAAAGTCTCTTAGCGCGAATCGGGGTGAACTGTCGTGCCTCTAGCGTTCAAACCGCACCCGTCAGAGCTAGCCTTCACTTGGGTTGTTGTTGTTTTTGTTGTAAACTTCGGATTTTTCGCCGTTGACTCACAATCGGCGACTCCCACGCGTGAAAAACAAAAGCAAGCACACGATCAGTTATTTGTTGCTAACCTCTCGTCCAATCAGTAACCGCCGCTTGTGCTCGGCCAATGGTGTTAGGGTACCGAGTGGGCTGGTGGCTTTTGCCCTTTCGCACTCCGTGTTGCCGTGTCTTTGCCTCATGTAATTAAATGGTAACTACTTGCTGCTTGAATGCGAATTTTAAATATCACACGGTTCGGTGTAAAGTAACCCTGCTAGTGTCGCTTTCATGATCGTTTTCAGCCATGTTTCTGCCGAGAGCCGGATTTTTTGGTCAATCGCCTAGCTTATGTGCACTCATACCTGTAACACTGCAAGTAACACTCGCCGGAAATAGCGGAATTTTATGGCAGTATTCCTTCGTGGAATGCTGGTTGTGGAAGCCAATTCAGCTGCAGACGGGTAGACTGTAATGTCGATTTGATTTTAGCGTTGCGGTGACTCCGGCACCAGTGCCTTTGGGTTCGCGTCAGAAGCGCATAATTCCGGGCGCGACGGTGGCTTCGCCAGTCGTGAACCCCACCAACACGGCCACCGGGAACCCCACGCGTCCTGCTGCCGCCGCCGCTGCTATCAACGTCCGTCCCACCACCGCCGCCGCCGCAACGAAGACTACAACCACCACCACCAACCCCGGCGCTGCTCAACCTGCGGTGGGTGCCGAATTGCCCGGGGTGTCGGTCAACCCTGTGATCAGCCAAATGCCCTCAGCCTCCTCACACCAGACCCACGCCTCGTCCTCCTCCGATCGACACACTGCTGAACGACACACAGCCACTTCGCAGGTTAGTGATAAAACCAGCCATGTTCACCTGTTGACTGCGTGGTTGAGCATCTGCGTTGTCAATTTCCGTATCCACCACGTCCACGAGTCGTTCCCTGTAGAACCACTGTTGCAATTTCGTCAGGAAGGCGTCAATCAGATACGACTCAGGTAGTTGATTTAACTTGGAATGCATTTTTGGTGAGGTAACTGCCACACCTCGGTCGCCCAAATTGTTGCATTGCAAGCCCCGTTTTCCTCGCCATAAAGCCCCGTCTCTTTTATGTCCCCAAATTAAACGCCGTCGCCCATAAAATTCGTGGGCTGGACTTGTTTTTCGCGTCTACTGGTGCTGTCTGTCACATACCTAGTCGTTATGTCCTGCTTCAATGCGTGGGCTTGCGTAATCACGACTGAAACGTCCAACACGGCCCTTCCCAGGTCCTCATTAGTAGCCACTTGCATCGTTTTGGCTCTGAATGAAGCCTCTGTAACTTCCATGTCACAATTCCTTCGCTTCCTCACAATTACTTATTCGCTTTTAGGAGGATAGCACGCTGACTCCGGACAAGAGCGCTCAGGAATCGCTAGTGGTGCGGACGGCCGCCCTCGTCGTGGACGAGGTCGTGGAGGGTGTGAAGGACGAACTGAAGGAATCGCCGTTGCAGGCTCGCGCCGCAGAGGTGGTTGTCGTCGAGGGTAAAAATCCCGCCTCCAGCCAGCTGGCCGTCAATCCTCCCACCCCGGCAGCTGCTGAAGGTCGTCATTCTGCCGATTCTCAACGCCACCATCATTTGTGCGTCCTAATTTCCAACCCTTGTCTGTGTTACTTGTTGAGGATTCGCCCTCCTGGTCGCGTCCATCTTCGTTTGTCCGTCCCACTCCAAAATTAGTCGAAATTGTGCTTTGGAATCCGTTTTAAACTGTTAGTTAAGATGGTAGCGTGTAAATTTGGCGTAGCCAGAGTGCCGTCAAAATTCCTCCGTAATGACGTCTCGCTGACGTTGTCGCGGTATCTGACGTGTTATAAGCTTGTATGTGTGTGTGTGTGTGTGTGCGTATTTTAGTGGAGTATTTAGCGTATCCGCCTAAACGCAACGTGTCGTGCAACCGTGTTGTGCTCTTGTTGGAACAGTTCACCAATTCAACCAATTCAAGATCGCACATACGCACACTCTCCGTAGCCGCTTGTCTAGCAAGGCAGACAAACGTTGTCTCTAGCGTCTCACAAATACGCCCTCTAGGTGGTAGAATCGTCTTCTGCAATAATTTCTGTTCATCCACCGTTTAGGTCACAGACGTCGTCCCACCAGTCGACATGGACGCGGAATTTCCTTCGTGTCATTGGCAGTTTACTTCAGGGGTAAGTTATTGGAGAAAGGGGTGATTTTCTTCCAAGCGACCTGATTCAAAGTATTCTTCGATTTCGTTTTGTGGAGTTGAATGCTTGGCTAGCACAAGTGCTTCCTATCCGTTTAGTCCTTCGAAGCAGGCTTCAAAGCCGACTCAGTTGATAGGCGGGAGCAAGCGACAGGTTCATTCGAAGCCTCGCGAAGTCAAGAGTCCGTGGGGCGTGCACGTGACGTCCAACAAGACAGCTGCGGAGCTGATGGGTGAGATGAAGCGCGCCTTGGAGACCGTCAAGGGTTGTCGATGGGAGGCGGACAACCAGTGGATGTACCTCCTCCACTGTGGTTGGTCCGAGGTCCTCTCAGAGGACGGCGGTAGTGCTGAGACTCCTTCCGCCTCAACCGCAGTGGCCTCAGAGCTGCTTCAGTGGGAGATGGAAGTGTGCTCAATCCCTCGCCTCCATCAACGCGCTGTCTGTCTGAAACGCATCCGTGGCTCCGCCATACAGTTCCAGAAGGTCGCCACCCAGGTCATGGCCGTGATGACCCCCTGACACACACGCACCCCTTTTTATTTTCCATTGTACAAAGACAAATTGGTTGATTACATCGTCTTCACTCCCAGGTCCACATTTCCCCGAACTACCGACGACAACACAGCACCTTAACTAACATGTCTTTCTTACCCGGCCCCACCTCTCCACCTTTCCCCAGCAATGCGTTATCGCTCTGTTATGGTCCCCCTTCTTTTATGCCCTGATACGACAACCTCTTAAATGAAGCCTTAATTTCTAAGACTCGTGTTGTCTTCTAGTCAACCAGGGGCCTAACTGCTTCCATTAAATGTCTCGGAATGTGGTCGAAGGCCGTTTTGTTGATTCAAGGATGCGCATGACTAACGTGGTTGTTGACCAATAGGATCTGGCTGAAGCAGTTAAAGTACAAACGTCTGAATGGTCACCTGGATAAAGCGGATATTCTGACGGGGTGGGGAGCAGTCAGTCGGAGAAGGCGGTGATCAACGCGACTTGCTGCACTTTCGTGGGCGTTTGTTTGAAGTGGATGTAAGCTAACCTCCTAGCTGCCCATTCTCCCTTTTCTCAGATTTCTCCCCTTTTTCTCTGGGTGTGGATTTGGTTTCCGCAAAAAACGCTGCGCTGTGTTGTGAGCGACGTAAAATGGCACTGGGAATGTGGCTGCCTCCGTTTACCTAAGTGAAGCGTGTGTGCGTGCATTGTTATGGGGCAGTTTTGCCTTGTAGCTCTTAGGGATTTCACTTTCTGGCCGCTATTTTGGCAATTTCCGGTCGCAGTAACTTCCCTAGTCGTTTGACTGTTGGAAATTCTTCTCCTAATCCAGGTAGTAATGCTGAGCTGGCCTACCTTACAGACAGGACCTAGGAATGTTTTGTGGTGGAGTGCCGTTGTCCGCCAATCAGAATCGCAGTTTACACAACCTACTCGGTATAGGTCGACCTCACACCTCATTTCCAGCCCATTTAGTCACAACCAGGCAAAATTACAATGAGGGTTACCTCAACTTTTTATCTGCAAATATTTATCAAGCTAAAAAAAACAAGTCCCTAGTCAAAATAGCTTCTTAATGATCACTGTGTGCAGGTGTCATGCGTACGGAAAGGTACGTGAAAATGAACTCCAATCTGCTACACCACCCAACACGTGAATTTGCATAATTATTTATGAATTCTCGACATCCGTGAGAACATTATAGCCCAGCGTGAGTCTGCGTACCGTGTGTACCTGTTTGGACCCTTCTTTGACATTTTTGCCAAATGGAATATTTCAAATTGTTAGGAAAATAGAATTGAAAATCGAGCTGAGTTAGCATTTCTCTCCTCAATCCAGCAATCGATTTTTTTTTCAACAGAGACAATTTCCGTTCCAGCATTCAAGAAGAACAGTAGTACCATCTGGTTGGTTGTCGAAAGCATATCTCGAATTCGCCTCCCTTCTGCTGTTCTGTGAACACAGCTGCTCAAGCTTGTTTAAGCTTAGCATCGAAGCTTCGATTGATCGCTCCATCAAGCGCTTTCTTCTTGGGATTTTCACGATTTAACTAGTATCTACTATGATTTAACACAGAAAATAAATCATATTGTAAACTCTTTTTTCGTGTCAAGTTAGATTTGTTGAAAAAAAGGCCGGTAATGTCTGAGACTTGGTGATTTACATGCTGGAAGCACTTCATTGGAAGTAGAACTATCTCTGCGCCAAATAAATTCCAAACTACTTCCGGATGCTTCTGACGGTCATGTTTGCGTGACTTCAATTCAGATCAGCCTTGAATGCACAGCGGTTCTCTGCCTAAGCAATAGCATCATCACATGCCGAAACGCGTTGCAAATCCGCCTATAATCTTCTTAAACAGGCGCTTGAATCTGCCGACCTAGGCCAAATCGAATGCTAGATACCTTGATCTGATGTTTGCTTCCGTAAAATGAATTTTACCCTTAGGTCAAAATAAACCGGATTTTAAAAAAATGCTCCGCCTAACCAAGTCAGCTAAGCATAAATAATCGCGGTAATCACATCTGGTTAGCCTGAAATTGCCAGGTAGAATTTGGTGGGAAAATATGCGGTACAGATGGCCCTCTCAACACCTGTATATCCATCCTAAGTTATTACTTTACAATGGAAGGGTTTTTCTAAATTGTAGATATCCCTTATGGGATTTCACAATGACCAACAATGCTACGTTTAGATCCACAAGTAGTCATTGAATGACATTTCCAAGTCATGTGAATACGTCACATCAGACCAACCTACAACTCTCTAGGGCAATGCGCTAATTCGCCCGACGTTCCTGATTGGTTAATCCGTCATAGATGGCATTTTACCGTTGGCTTCACGACTGGAACGTGTTGGAACTTTGAAGGAAGTGGATTTGATACAATAATGTTTAGTTTGAGAAGAAGCAGGACTTCTGGAATAACTGTAGCAGTCGAAGAAGCCGTGCTTTCGACGACTGCCAAATGTTAAATTTGACCACACATTGTCCAAGGGGAATCCATTTGGAAGTGTGGAGGTGGTGGAGAGTAAGCATAGCTTAATAGAAATCACCTATTTAATTTTCTGCGATTCTGAACTTGTTCAAAATTTTTAACCACACGTTGGACAATGTCACGTAAGCAATGAGTACGCGCCAGCATTGTAGATTATCGATTTTTGTGTGTACTGTCATTCGCAAGTCATGTGAATGCGCGTCCTGCAAGTTCATGCAGTTACTGCCTGTAAATTCACACCAAAAGTTGATTAAAAACCCAAATTTCTTGTGAAAAAGTGATTCCCAACTCTTGAGTACACGCCATTGAATGCACATGAAAAACTAACCTCTAATTTTTTTCTTTTGTTGTATCAATTCCTGAGACATATACTCAGTCTCTTTGATGCCTCACAAACAATTGTATTGTCCAACTTGGTCAGGAAATTACACGATTCACTTTCCAATTAATTTTGCTAAATCACGAGGCGTTGACTTAAAGATTATTCAATAATTCTAGATCTCTCCACTTCAGATATCCTCAAATTTTTGCCTAAACGCCTCTTAGCTGACGACATCTAGACTGTTGGACAAACTCGAATAGGCTTTGTCAAGCACTCTAATACAGATTATGACCACAGACAAATTGCACGGATGCTTGGGTGTTACCATGGCAACATGTTTTAGCGGGTCTGATACAAGCGGAGACATTTGCGACCTAGCTGAGTGCAAAGTATATAGTTTCTCATTTCAAAATTTGTCAAAGTGGTTGGGACGTGGTAGAAAATGGCTAGATGAAATCAGCTTCAAATTCTTTTAATATGACCTAACTTAATGAGTAGTATGGAGCTTTTATTCAAGATTTTAAATGATTTCTACAGCCCCACACGAAGCAGAATTAATGGTTTTAAAACCAAAACGGAGTTCCAGAGCTAGGTTTTCTTCGACAGCCATCGAGTTTTGATAAATACTGATTGCATTACAAAATCAGCGATCGGTTTAAACACGCTCAAAAGCTTGTGGTACAAGTTGCTTAAATTAGAAATTTGCAGAATGCTTTCAAGGCGGCGTAAGATCATACATGCTCTTTATACTTGCCAGTCGGTTGCTGATGTGACCCAGCTCAATAGGGCTGTTGGTAATTAGTTGATTAAATTTGGTAAAGACAGCCAACTCATTTGACCTTCGAATGACACAGCTCCCAGTAGAAAGAGAATGCCAGTTAGGTTAGCGGAATGACGCAGAATTCTGTCACAGGCATAAACACTTTGCCAATGTCGTTCTGTGCTGTTCGTTTACGTTGCTAATTTTATCGCCTGAACCACAGCAACGGGTGTCCTGAGATTGAGGGGGAAGATTTCGAATTTTCAGAAAATTAACATCTCTCTAGGGAGTAAATAAATGCTACTTTCTGACGCTAGGATGGTCCTGTGTACAAGCGTTGTAACTTTTCTTTAGATTATCAAAATTTATTTTAAAAACAAACCTTTGAATTGGCCAACCAAAATGCAACTGCTTTTTTAAATTACCAAGAAGGGTGAAAATTATGTCCAATGTCACAAATGGCCCTGTGAGTCACCTAGATGCACGCGGAAATCAAACTAATCGATATTTCATTCAGATCAATAAATTAAAACAAGAAGTTAAACGCTGTTCACTAAAGGTTTCTGCAACAGACGCCGAAGATGCTTTAAATGGTTTTCCACTTTAACAACAAAAAATAAACTTATTCTCTGGTAAATTTGACCTGCTGCAGCTGGCACATCTGTGTTCAAATTTAACATTGCAAAAATATAATGAAAAGATGGTTAGAGGTAGAAGAGTGTATTTTGCGACGCTCTGTCATAATTCCTTGCTAATAATTCCAGTGTGTTAGCCAATTAAATAACCTTCCAAGCACAAAAAGTTCCACTCTTTTCGCTTCCAATTAAATCGAAGTAACAATATCGCCGTTCTAGAGGTCGAAGTAGATTTATTGCGATCGTAAAACAAATTCTGGAAAATCCCATTAAACCAAAATCAACACGTTCTTGATGTAGCAGAAATTAGTAAGTAGGTCAAGTGCTGAAAGCAGACTGCTGCAAGTAGGTTAGGTGTAATGCTATGCGGCTGCCAAATTAGAAAGCTCTGCAAGAGTCGTGTTATGGATGATAAATTGCACACTCATCGCGTGACGCACGTCGGCTGATGATAATACCACATCCACAATTTGTCGACACGTCAGAAGTGCTGTGTGGTTCAATTTAATCATGTGGATTACGTGTATGCGTAGGGTAACTAAACTGCTGGAGAGCGTTTCGTGGTGCTGCCGAAGCTTGAGATAATGCGTGTGCCATGCGGTTCAGCCTACGTATCAGATTCTTCAGATTCGCTGACCAGAAAACTTTTAGATCCGTCAGAGCACTTGGGTGAATTAACGTTGTAAATTTGCTGGTAGGAACTCACTGACTTTCGTGTCGTTGAAAACTTTCTACTTATCTCCTATTGAGTTCCGAATTACCACCAGTTCCACGAGAATGAGGTGACAATTACCAGTGACGACCACAATCCGTTG